AAGAATAAACCTCTGCTCCTGGTGACCAGCTCATATTGGGTCCTCCCACATTATCCCGGGACACGTATATTCATGAAAGTTGTTCATTCAGGAATGGAAGCATTCCCATCCATTGTTCTCTCAGCTGTGAACATCTGGAGTTGCAGTTTCATCTCATTTGGATAATAGTACTTTGGATGAGAATGGGGTACAATATGGGATTTCTGACTACTTCTTCTGTGGTTTTTCTAGATTGGTAAGCATGATGAAGCATGGATGATTCTTAAGCAAGTCCATGATGTCAACATGAGGGCCAAGGGAGAACCAGAAAGGGTATTTACAGTGAGTTGAATCTACATGATTTCTTCTTTCTCCTAGATAAACTTGGGCCAAAGGGTAATCCATTTTTGATAAATGCCCCAAATCAGACCTCCTTTTTTCAAAAAAGACATCAGTATCACCCTGGACATTGTTTTTCCTTCAAGACTCTTGTTGTATTTCATGCCCAAGTGTACTCTAAAGCAGACTTCTCCAGATATCTTATACTATACTACCTATCATTCTCATAATGACTCATTTGGTTGAGGATGATGGATATTTTAGTTATAACACTTTTAGAAGGAAACATGTCAAGGAAGGCAAAATTAGATGATCACCTCTTTTTCCCAGAGATGTCAATGAAAACCTCAAATGAAATATATCTATAGTTGCTTTTCCCAACCAACTGTTGAGAACATCTCATATCCACAGTAATTAAAGTCCTCCGGGAAAAACTGGGACAATGTTCACCCCATAAATAAAAATGGATTAAAAACAAAACATAATGAAACAAAAATGAGCCAAATCTTAGAAGATTTTGGTGTTTTTGCCTGAAACCCTACAATTTTGCTCTGTTGTGACAACAAATCTTAACAGGTTTCAATGAGAATGTCAAAATCTTGTTCAGTTTTGGCCATTTTTAAAATGCATGCATTTTAAAAATTATTATGGTTCATCACACAGTAAGCCAGGTGTTCAGAGTGCATTTGGCATTTTTATTATCAATATCATTATTATTTTGAGCATCGAATCCAACATGGGAAATTACATGATGGCATCCAGTACCTGAATAAGTGGCACACATCAGGCATTATCATTTCCTGTTCATTATTTTTGTGTACATAAATGAGCTTTGCAAACTCTCTCTTGGAGTAGTTCCTTTAATATATTTTTTTTCATTATCATTTGTACTTCCCAATCAAACCTGATGGTAGGAGATGCTGTAAGATAGTAGAAGATAAGTAAGAGAGCTCAACATTCCCCTTTCCTTCAGAACAAAGATCTGGGCACTTATTCACCTTTCTAAAAGATAGCATAGATCCAGAGATGTTAGGTGTATATGCTTATCTTGAGGAAAGCCCCAATGAATCTAGCAACATTTTTCTTTTGTGTAGTCACAAACAATTCTGGCTTCCAGAGGATTAGCAGTTCCGAGATGAGAATGAGCTCTGCCTTCTGTAGCCTTTGTGACGTTGCTAACACAAACTAGGTTGTGTCTGAAGAGGCTGCTGGTGATGATGAGATTTGTAAATCCTACTTCACTTTTTCTTCTTCAGGTCTCTCAGATAAAAACTCCCAAGCAAGTTGATGAATTTATTGAAATACAGAGCTCCACAGGAACATGGTACCAACGTTGCTTTGTTAGAGCCATGACTACCATCAGACAGGTAGGGAATAAGGGTAACTAAGCAAAACACATCCAGGATTTGGATATAAATCCCACAACCTGAATTAGCAAAACACAGTTACCATGGTCACATAACATGTGCTAACAAACAAGCCGTTTTATGTCTTAAGAAACAGCCTTTTCTTCATTTAGTATATGAAGAAAATGGCTAAGTACATATGATACCTTCAGTCACAATCTAGTGCAGATTCTGGGAGTTGAAGTCCACAAGTCTTAAAGTTGTCAAGGTTGGACACCCCTGATCTAGTGCATTATCTAGGATGTCCTAATTCAACAATTTATTCTGCTTTCCTTCCAATGGATAATCCTTGGGATGAAACTATTCTGGGATGCATTTTGAAAATCTAGGACCCCATGTTTGCATATTTTGCTCAGTCATAAATGTTTAACCATGGGAATGGTACAGTGGCCTAGAGGTGGAGCTCTCTCCTCACAATCAGGAGGTTGTGAGTTCAATCCTAGGACACTGTGAGAATATATCTGCTGAACGAAAACTCCGCGTTGGCAACAGGAAGGGCATCCGGCCATTAAAACACTCTGCTAGTTCCATTCGGTTGCCCAGACTCCACCCCGCAAGGGATTATTAAATGAAGACGATGATAATGTTTAACCATGATTTGTTGAATATGTCACTGCGGCCCATATATTGCCTTAAACTAAGATCAACCAAATCAAATTATATCCTAACACAGCGCGTGATCCAACGAACATTAGTTCACACAAAACTCTCGACCTATGAGTGATGCTGATTAAACACGAGAATTTTCACGTAGTTGAATAGCTTAGTTGAACATGCTCTTTGAAATATGAAAGAAATCCTAACAAATTATAGAATAAACTAAGGTCACCCATCTCACTGAACTAATTTGAGATTGCCACTGGGTTTACCAAGAGTTAGTTATTTTTCATGATAACTTCTTTTTGGATTGTTTTAGGTAATGGACAATGTGGTTTATTGTCTGACAGCGCAGTACAGAATGAACACACTATTACTGTCAGTTGTCTGGTTTTCAATGGCCTTAAGGTAGGTGTCTCAGGGTTTGGTTTTTTTTAGGTTTGTAGAACATTATCCTTCCTCTTTGATCTGCCATGAATATGTTCAACGTATCAGCTATGAAATCAACTCTAGTTTGATGCCTCCCTACATGTTTTTCAAAACTGAAACCTTTCAAAATTCTGCCCTGTATCAGTGGACAGGAAAATTGACTGGGTGATTTTTCTACACATGTCCAGAGGAAGGAGAGAGTGGTATGGTGGCCTAGAGGCGGAGCTTTCGCCTCACAGTCAGGAGGCTGTGAGTTCGACCCTAGGTAGAGGCCGATATTTCTCTCTCTGGGCACACTGAAAATCTATCTGCTGAACAAAACTCTGCATTGGCGACAGGAAGGGCATCCGGCCATTAAACACTCCGCTAGCTCCACTCCACAAGGGATTATGGGTTCGTTAAACGAAGATAATGGTGTCCAGTGGAAGGAGATGTTCTCCAACCATCCCTCAAGGGCATGACTCGTATTTAGTGTTACTGTAGAACCACTAGTAGTAAGTACAACTAATAAAACCTTTTGCAAGGAGCTCCTTCTTGAGATTCTCCCTCTGGGATTGAAGGGAAAGAAGGGAAGCCAACCTTTTGTAGAGGGGAGGAGGATGATAAAAAAACAAAACCCAGAAGATTCACACATACAGTATATTTTGGAAGGTTGAACTTTTTTTGGTGGTGGTGCTGGTGGGGGAAACCGCTTCTTTATATGTAGTATAGTTGGATTTTAGAACCATTAGCCATAATAAAATAAAATGCCTACTAAGATCAGGGCAGCCAGTGTCCCTGTACAATGGGGGATTAGGAGTGAACTCCTAGAATGTAGACAAGTAGCCAGCTTCTGTTTCCAGTGCTAAAACTGTGGAAGATTTCTTTTTGCCACCAAGAAAAGCAACACAACTGATATTTCCACTTCTCTGCAGTTACTATGGCCTGATTGTCTGGTTCCCTGATATGATACGGTATTACCAAGAGAAAACGTATAAGTCTGAGAGGAAGACTTTCGAGTCGGAATTAGTGAAGGACTTCACCTTTGACTTTAACCTCAGAAACCAGCTCTACTTGAATTGGACATTCAAGAATGACAGGTGAGTGATCCAGCCTGTAAGGATCAGCCCCCTGAGCCTCTAGGGCCGGACCGTGTCAGGTCAGATATTCCAAATGGTGGAACTCATACAAGGTGGAGATCAACTTTTTGGATGTGAATCCTCTCCCAGCTCTTGGGAAGTCACTGACCACAGGGTTCAATTCAAAGAAGTTCATTGATCCAATCGATTCATTCTCAGCCGTTAGATTTCACCCCAGCCGGAACAGGGTGAAACCAGCTTCTCCCCAACAGCCATATCTTACTAACCGAGGGGCTAATTAATCCCTGGCTTAGAAAGGACCCACAGAATTGAAGGGGGTGGGAGGGTTCTTAGGCATCCCATCTCTTTTACTACTTAATTACTCCCTCCCTGTGACCACAGGGAGAGCTTGAGTGTGAAATTTTAATTTAATTTAATTTAATTTTGTTGTACAAGGTGCAATGACAATAAAGTAAACTAAACTAAAATGAGCTTGGAATGAGTTGATGGGTTGAACCTAGAATGTTCATATTATCTATTATCACATTATTGATAAAATGGCTCCAGAAAGCCCATTTCTAAAGTAAGGATCAAGAGGGAGATACTCACTTGTAAATTTGGGAGGTGGGGTGGGGAATGAAAACCCCAGGGAGTCCCCATACCTGATTGTTATGTCTCACCTATATTCACAAGTGAGAATACAGAGTTTCACAGTTCAAAACAACCAAATCAAAACAGAAGCAGACTAATAAAGGGTTAACAGTACTTATTCCAGTCCTTGGCAGACTTCCCGGAATCTGTCTGGTAATTCAGAATGTCCATAAATTACAAAGGCCGCTCCACACGTATCCTTTCGACACATCAAACACTTTGCTTCCAAGCAAAGTTTGAGACTCATCACGCCTCCTTAAATCACCTGGATTGGCGTGTCAATCTCCCTAATCACTCTCTGACTTGACGCCTCCCCTCAGCTTGACGTTTCAGTCTCCTCTTAGTTCTGGCGTCAAGCCACGATCTGTCAGCTTCCCCACTCGAAGCCTCTGACTCATTTTGTGGATCAGTTGCTGGCATGAATGAGGTCGAAGGTTCTGGCGAGGAGTGTCTGTCCGACAACCTCTCATCCCCCTGGCTCACATCTGTGTCCTCTAATAATTCAGACTCCACATTCACAGCAGGTCCCACCCTTTCATCTTCAGAGTCATCAGAGTCAAAACTCACAGCAGGATCGATCCTTCCAGTCACAACACCTGATTATGGTTTTATCTTACTCACCTTAGACACTATTTGCTGTTTTAATAAATGGTGTATTCCAAGAGAAGAGAAAGCAGTATATTACATAATAATATAACTGATAACAAAAACCGATGGTCAGAAAGATCTTTAATGAAATACGTTGCACATTTGGCCGATATGCAGCCAGCGACCACTTATGGGTTAAGGGCTGCTATTAGGCCTTTAAATTAATTTAACTCCATTTAATATGATTATTCCGCATGGATGTAATGCTTTCCCCCTTCTATTTGATTAAGTAAAAAAAAAAATCCCTCTAGTTCGACTCAACACTTGGGGTTACGTGAACAGTTCCTCGTCAGTACAGAAGTGGCTCATAATTGCTTTCTTCTTCGCTGCTTGGCATTTTGCCCAGACTGCCTACCCAAATAGCTAACTAGGTTTGAAGTGGCTTAGCACTTCGGGAGGCCACCCAAGGTGGCCACAAACTGGAGACTTGGTTCCATTAAGTGATGCTTTTGAAGGTGGACATGACCTTGGAGGTAGGAAGAAGAGCTGCAGCCTAGACAATGGCCTGATAAAGGAAATCTGAGTCCAAAGGAGGAATGGGGGTGGAGAAGGCACCTCAGAAGGAGGGAGTGGGAGTCCCTGCGGACTTTAACCTGTTATAGGGACGGGTGCTCATCTCCATTTCAAGACCATTGAACCAGTACTGTCCATGGTCCATTTCCATGGTCATGTGGCAGGGGTGGGATTCTACCAGTTCGGCCTGGTTCGGCTGAACCGATAGCTCCAATGATTGTCTGGGAGCCAACCGGTTCACTCCAACGATCAGCTGCTGGGCCCACTCATCTGCTCTGGCTCCATACTGACCTTTATTTCCTGGGTTTGAAACTCAGCTACATCACGCGGCACAGCCAATTTCCGCATGTCAGCTGTTGAACACACAGGGAGAGTGCAGGAGTGCAGGAGAAGGTCAGTAGGAAAGCCTCTGCGTGTGCGCAAAGCATGCGTTTACTGCACCCGTGTGCAAAGCATGCCCACCAAGCCACGCCCACCAAACCGGCGGTAAAACAATTTGAATCCCACCACTGTCATGTGGCCAGCATGACATCCTGGAGCACTGTTACCTTCCCCTCGAAGTGGTACCTATTTATCTACTTGCATCTGCATGCTTTCAAATGGCTCGGTTGGCAGGAGCTGGGGCAAGGACGGGAGCTCATGCCATCATGTGCTACTCGGGTTTCAAACCTGGCTGCCGGCTTTCCAGCTGGCAAGCCCAGCATCTTAACCATGAAGCCACTAGGCCACCCATTTCAGAAGGAACCCTCCCTAATTTTCAGGACAGTGAAATGGAAGGAAGGAGGGAGGGAGGGAGGGAGGGGAGAGGTACTTTCAGATATCAGGTCTTTGAGGTAGTCCAGACAAGAAGCACCAAGCATTGAACACCAATCATACATTTATGTTTAAGTTTATAGTGATAGAAACTTGCAAGTCTGGAAGGATCCCTCTCCTTATTTTTTAATCTAATGAAAACTATGAAGGGTCCCATTTGAGATGCTTTGTCCACCCCCATTCCTTCTGTGGACTGAGATTATCTCTTGCCTGACCTGCCTGCAGCTCTTTTTCCTGTCCCCCAAGGTCATTCTCACACATCAAGTCATTTCTGGGCTGACACCAGGAGGCACCAGGAGTCCAGCTCAACTTGAAGGAAACTTACCTTTATTTTATTTTTTTATTTCTTTCCCTGTTTCTTTGCATGGATGTCAACTTAAAAGTACTTGTTGGTCTCTATTTGGGGGATTCTGACCTCTTGTGGTGATATGAGGGAAAGCAGTTCACGTAAACCTGCTGAAATTTATGGTTGGGCTGCATTTCATGACTCTCTTCCTTCTCTAATTTATCCTATCTAATCATTAAAATCAAAGATCACGAGCTCATATTTTGCTCACAAAGCCCATAAGAGGCTTCCAGTACCAATAAACATAGAGTATCTGTTTTCTAATCGAGAAACAAATGGTCAAAATTGGGAGCGTCCTATCAAATTCTGTACCTGTCAACAGTGGTGTCCCCCAAGGCAGTGTTTCATACTCTACATAAATGACCTCTCTGATCATATTAAGAGCAACTGCGTTCTCTTCGCTGATGATGTAAAGCTATTCAATACCAGAAACAATACTGCTACCCTTCAAAAAGACCTTGACTATGTATCAGAATGGTCAAACAAATAGCAACTTCAAATCTCAATAAATAAATGCTCTGTCTTACATATTGGCAAAAAAAATCAGAAAATAAAATACAGGCTGAATAGTCAAGACCTTGTTGATGATCCAAACTCTGTCAAGGATCTTGGAGTACTCATCTCTAATGATCTAAGTGCCTAGAGCCCACTGTAACTACATAGTCAAAAAGGCATTAAGAGTTGTTAACCTAATCTTATGTAGCTTTTTCTCTGGTAATATTACACTACTAACTAGAGCATACAAAACATTTGCTAGACCAATACTCGAATACAGCTCATCAGTCTGGAACCCACATTACGTATCTGATATTAACACAGTTGAGAAAGTCCAGAAATATTTCACAAGAAGAGTTCTCCACTCCTCTACTCGTTGCAGAATATCTTATGCCACCAGACTTGAAATTCTAGACCTAGAAAACCTAGAACTACGCCACCTTCAATCCGATCTAAGTATAGTATATAAAATCATACATTGCAATGTCCTACCTGCAAATGAATACTTCAGCTTCAGTCATAACAATACAAGAGCACACAATAGATACAAACTCAAGGTTAACCACACCAAACTTGACTGCAGAAAATATGACTTCAGCAACAGAGTGGTCAATGTTTGGAATACTCTACCTGACTCTGTGGTTTCTTCCCCAAACCCCCAAAACTTTAACCGTAGACTGTCTACTATTGACCTCACCCCCTTCCTAAGAGGCCTGTAGGGGGCGTGCATAAGCGCACCAATCGTGCCTACCATCCCTGTCCTATTGTTTCTTTTATTTTTCTTATATGTACCCATTTCATATATTCATAACTATATTTATTCTTATACCTGTATCTTGTAAGCGATTGACAAATAAAATAAAAAAATCACCATCCATTCCTCCGTAGTACATAGTGTTGAATCTTTTTCCATCTTTATGCATATAATAATATCACCACAATCATCGTATATTGAAATAATTTCAGAACTGGGAGCTTCTGAGCATCATTTGGTTTCCCATCCCCTCAAGTTTCTTCTAGAACAATTTCAGTTATTTCCCTAACCCCCAACCGCTGATTTTAAAGGAAATCTTAGCAAGGCTTGATGGACCTCCTTACATCCAAATTATTCAACTCTTCCACTAACAAAAATGCTTATGAGTACCTAAAGTTTTGAAAATTGGGGGGAAAGGTTTGTATTCTAAGTGTAAAGATACTCCTAGTCTTGGTTTAACTCATTGCATCTTGGATAGATTCTGTAGCAGCCAGTTGTATTTCTTACCTTCTGACCTTTGCTAATAAAAAAAGCTTTGAGGTATGATGGCAAGGTCTTAGCTCTTGTCCATCCTCAGGTTCATTCAAATGAAAATGCGCGATGTGACTTTTGACAACTCCCTCTTTGAGGACTGTCGTTTTGAAGATGTGACATCCAGCGCGACCTTCTTCAAAAAGTGTACTCTTGTAAATACCAGCTTCTATAACACAGGTAAGGCGGAGGAGCACCTGGGCATGCATGCGTGAAGGGTCTCTGTGCATCAGGGAGGGAAGATTTTATTTTCTGTGGAAGCAGAAGCAGAGAGCCAAGTGTTTAGAGCAGAACTTGCAAGAGAAGCAGAATAATCCCTCCTCAGATCCGAGGCAAGGAGGGTCTGCAGTGGGTGGCCAAAATAGTCAAGGTGGCAGCTCCAGTGGTGGAATCCAAGCTCTACCTGCAACCTACCTGTAATTAAGCAGAATTTGCATCGCACCATCATGGCTGCCATGCTGAATATTTTGATTAGACCCTGCAGACATCCCCGGACTGAATGCCAGCTGCCACCTTATGTTTGCTGTGGTTCACTATTATGCAGGGACAAACTGCCATGAACTGCGGGGAGGGGGAATGATGAGGGAGAGGGAATGCTTGCGGGGAAACGAAAGTAAAGACTGTGTCATCCTGAGAAGCTACTTCAAGGTCACTCAGCTGGAAGAAAGAGGGAGCTGCATACCAACCTGCACTCAGACTGCCTGTTGTCAAAACATCTTGCATGGCTCTGATTGGTTACAGTGGGGTGGGCACCGAGGGGCAGATAAGGGGGAGGAAAGTAGAACTTAGTGATTTTAGGGCACACAGATTCTCAGTTCTGGCTATGCATTGCTGCAATACACTTGATCTCTCAAAAACTATACCTTTCTCAGCAAATGGAGCCGAGGATAGTTTCTGCTTAGAGGTTTAAGTTGTGGCAGGTCTGAGATGGATGGAGTCCCAAACATTCACTTGTCTTTCTTTTGGAGGATTGGAAAGGCCATGTCATTATTTGTAATTTTCATGCTAAGGGTTTGATTCAGCAGTATCCCTAGGACCATCAGATGGGGGCAGAGGATGGTTCCAACAGCCCAATCTAAGTCTTGTTCTTTTTGCAAAATGGTGCTAAAGCCACGTGGACGTAGGTTAGGCTGGAACTGTGAACCTACAACCATTGCTTTGCCTGGTCCGGAACCTCCCTGCAGCCACACCATGATGATTTCTAGCTTTCCAAGGGAAGATATTCCTTCTCAGAATCTATATACACTCAAGCATCATCACAAAATCTCCAGAACCGTAAAGCCTACAAACTTGAAATTTGGCACATATGTTCCTCTTGGCTTCTAGGTGCTCATTAAGAAAAGATTTTTCGAAATGACCATCAAGAGCATTAATATTTCCTGTATTATTATTAACACGCTCTGATGCTAAGGAGTTCTATTCCCCCTCCCCACCTGAAAGAAATCTCTTCCAAAGGCAAAACCACAAGCAGAGGAGTTTCAGTTTCAGTTTCACAGCAGCACCAAGCAGCTTTAGTACAGAACAGTTGAGCTAAGCCACGCCCAGGCTCCTTGCTGTCTCTTTTTTGCTCGAACAGCAAATACTGTTTCAGTTTCCAAACAGCCCTCAACTCTTTCACACACTGACAGCATGCTATCCAGATGAATACCAATGGATGCTGGTAGACAGAAGCAGAATTTTTTCCCCTTATTTTCCTCCCCAAAAACTAAGCCCGACTACATAGTTTCATAGTGAAGCATGGGTATCAAGCTTGCAACATACAGAATTAGGGTTCTAGAATGACTCTGGTCCAGATGATCTCTTTAAATACCAGTCTTGCACTGCCAGCCATAATTGTGAAATCATGTAAACATTAGAAATGTCTGAATAATTTTGGAGACCTAGATTTCAAGACTCCACAAGACCGCATGGAAGATCATTTGCATGGTCCTCTCATTCATTAAAATTCTATCAGAAATTCAGAGAAATTGAGAAATATGCACTCTCCACCCCAATAATTCTTACCCTCACTGTGAATGGCTGTTTCCAGGAATCTGAGCTGCTGGAGGTTTGTCGCTCGCTTTGAAAGCTGCTCTAACAGATAATCAGAGTTGGAAGGGACCTTGTGGGTCATCTAGTCCAACCCCCTGCCCAAGCGGGAGACCCTACACCATTCCTGACACATGGCAGTCCAGTCTCTTCTTGAAAGTCTCAAGTCTCAAGGGCAAGGTGTTCCACTGGTTGATTGTTCTCACTGTCCCTGTTTCCCCTTATTTCCAGGTTAAATCTCTCCTTGTTCAGTTTCCATCCATTATTCCTTGTCTGGCCTTTGGGTGCCTTGGAAAATAGCTTGACCCCTTCCTCTTCTCTGTGGCAGCCCCCCAAATATTGGAAGGCTGCTATTCTGTCTCCCCTGGTCCTTCTCTTCCCTAGACTAGCCAGGCCCAGTTCCTGTAACCAGTGATGATCTAGTGATGGCCCCCTTGTTGTTTCCTTCTTACAGATTTCTACAAGTATAAATTCATTGACTGCGAATTTATGAACGTCTCTAACTTTGGGCAGAAGAAGGGTTGCCAGCTGGATTTTGAGGAAGACAACGATTTTCTCATTTACCTTGTCAGCTTCTTGGGCAGCCTTTCCGTCTTGCCTGGTAATATCATCTCAGCTCTGCTGATGGACAAATTAGGAAGAATCAAGATGATCGGTGAGTGGTGATGAACGGTATCAAAGGAGAAAGATGGGTCTCGCAGTCCTTTCATGTGATGACTGTTGTGTCTTGGTTCAAGAGCCAGGTGTCCAGAGGTGGAAAGCAACAGAGCCTCCTGGGACTGTATAGGTTCCAAATAGGGGGTGAGGGTTGCATAGGTGGGGACTTCTCCCTTTCTTAAAACAATCGACAAACAACGCAAAATCCCTTTGGGTGGGAAAAAAACAGCGCCTTCCTAAGAAGGTGGAGCTGTACATTTATTTTCCTAGCATGATTATCTTCCATAGGACTATTTCCTCCTTGGTAATTATTAAGCAAAAATCAAGAAAAGGAGGGCATAACTTCAAACCGACAGGAGGGAAGTTCAAAAGTAATGTTAGAAAGTATGACTTTACAGTAAGAGTAGTGGTAGCTTGGAACCAGAGGTAGTGGATCAGTCATCTGAGTTTAAACATCCTTGGGGTAAACACATGTCCATCATGACCAATAAATAAATAAAATTAAAAAAAATCATAAATACATAAATTAAAAGGAAAACAAAAAACTTATTGGATCACTAGGACTTTTGCTGCCATCAGTTTTCTGTCTGTCTGTCTGTCTGTCTGTCTGTCTGTCTGTCT